AACCCCAAGCCTTCATAGAAAATCATGCCATTTATAAGCCTTCGGAGCTTCTCATAAAATAGTTGAATTGCTTCATCTTCCGGGCGTATGCCATCGGCTAAGAGCTCTATAGTGTTTCGCATCCCCAAAGCATAATCTTTAGCATTTTGAGCTTGCAAATGATACTTCATGGTCCTACTTTCCCACTCGCAGACTTCCTTTCTTAAGACAACCCTTTCCTTTATCATTGTTCGCATAGCTATGGCGTGCTCCTCTCAGATCCGGCTAGTCGTTCTTGGTTGATCCTATCTTTCCCTTTCAATTCCTCCACATGAGCACTCAAATGGTGTATTCATCTGATTGGTTAGCCATCTATGCTAGTGTCGTGTCTCTAAATTCCTCGAGGCCATCCTTCTCATCTCTAAGCTTGTCAACAACTCCCTTTGTCGGTTAGAGTTGACAACGAAGCTTCTTGTTTTCTTCCTCTAAAACTTTCATCGCATGGTCTTTAGTATCTAGAATTTCCTCTAACTTTCTCTTCTTTTGAGTTAGTTCAACCACTCGAACATTCGAGTCCTCGTTGAGTATCTCATGTTGGGCATTCACTTCGATGAACATCCTCCATTGTCTCATTCATCGATCAAAATGGGCCTTCGAATGGTGGCATACGACATCCCTTTCCTCTAGTGCTTTGCCATTTTGGATATCCAGGCGAGGTTCTTCCATCCATTCTTTTTTCGGGAGTGACAATCCCTCTATTACTCTAAGCAGATCCTAGCTCCCTCTAAAAACTTCTTAAAGACCCTCGGATCCTTATAATACTCATTTAAACCGATCATCCTTGGAATGAATTGCTCAAACCCTAACTACCTTAGAAACACGCTCGGACGATGAATCGATGCAACAACGAACTCTAATTAGTGGCACCCAAGGAAAGTTGCTATAAAAGGCCGTGTAACTTCAAAAGAAGGCATATCGTGCTCTCCAATGAAATTCGACTTCTCTAAATTGAAGAATAACTCTGCCCATATTGTCTTACCCAACTCGTTGAGGACGTGACAAGCAAAATTCTCTAACTTAGAATACAAGTGCCATGGGGTGTAAAAAATACCGGAGGCTTTCCCGAGTCATTACGTTACTCACATTCCATACAAACAACAACCTGGACACGACACCTCAAATGTCCATCTTCCTTTCTTCGATAGAAATTTAATAAAGAGAGGGGTTTCTACTAGGATTGTTGTAGTGGGATTAACCTTCGGAAATACTACATTTTTAAATATGTTGACTACCTCAACGTCGATCATGCTCTCGATCGATGGTAACAACACTAGTCCATATATTGCTAGTGTCAAGATTCGAAGTCTAATTTGGTTATCGGGATCTTGTAAATGCTTCATGAATTATGCTTGAAGGATGTCCCAAAACCAACCTTGATATTTACCCCTCTAGGTTAGTTGTTTCTTGGCTAAAGTGGTGTTTGTTCCAATCAACCATGCAAAGTTTGATGGAGTGTGTTCAAGCGGACTATAGAAGTAGATAGCCTCCGTTTCAAGAAATCCTAGGAGAGTGTTGTATTCCTCAAGTGTAGGTGATAGGTCTACACTTCCAAACATGAAGCAACGATAATCCGAATCCCAATGGCATATCATGGCTTAGAAGCATGCGGTCCGGGCCTTAATCTTGAGCGGATAAGTTATGTCACCATATGTCTTCTAGAAATCAAGTCGGTCCTTGGAAGTGAGCATCTCCCAACAAGCGAGAAACGGACCAATGTTGGCCATCCGTCGACCCAATTTAACCCTTTACGGTAATCTCGACACAAAATTCGGGAGAAAACAATCTCCTTCCTCATTTTGGGCCTACTCATATCCGACCCTAAAATCGTCGACCTCATTTCGATTTCTTCGTCATGATTTAATATGAAGGATAACCTATAAAACCAAGGGTCGGTATTAACATCATTTGACAATAATTTGTGTCTTAATTAGGTCAACCCTAACAGATAGGATCTAGCTTTTCTATGGTTGGGCAAAGCTTGACTAGTCCTAAAGATTTTTCAAGCCTTTAGATCGCCTAAATTACCAATAGGGTAATCCAGCCTCTAACCTTATACGTTAGGAGGTAGGGGAAGGTCATTCCATCATTTTCAATGTATAGGGTGAGTTTCGATCTAAAAGGGAGTTTGGAAGAGCATCGATAGACTTTCTTCATACTCATTTCCAAATCACTCTATCTAATTCCTATCGGGGTTCAGCTTGGGTCCGGAGCTTTTAAGGGTTTCCTTCGTGGTGTGTGCAAAATTAAAAGAAAAGGCATACAACCCAATTCAAAAATTAACGTGCGAGAGAAAAAAATGACAAAAATTTAAATATATAACATATAAATCAATAAATAAATAAAATGACAAAAATAAATATAAAAGATAAATTAAAAACTAAACCTATGGCCTAACTCTAGTCCTTAGTGGAGTCGTCATTCCGTCGCTACACGACGTCGGACGGGACTCCCCAAAGAAATTAAAGTCCGAGCATTAATCATTTATAAAATTATTTACGAGTTTTGGAGTCGCCACCTAGTATTGAAGGAATTAGGAACCTAAAAGTAGCACTTGGTTCGGGGATTCCTAAGGTAAGGAGTTGGTTACGCTTTTAGGAAGATATTTAATCACCTAAAAGTGTCCTTTTTTAGAAAAAGGTACCATGTATGGTTTACTTCTAAATTCATCTCCTAAAAATCCATGTCAAACTATTTTCTAATTTTTAAACTCTTATTTTTTTATTTTTTTCAAGACAAAGTGAATTTTTCTAGTTTTGGGTGTGGCATCATATTGAAACGATCGTCGGTCCCCTCGTCGGATGACATATCGATTCAAACATCGGATCGACTAAAAGCCTTGACAAGCACCGAAATGTCGGAGGACGTCTTAATTAAAAGGTGATTTTTAGTGACGTCGGTCCCTATCAAGTAGGAGACTTCGTCAAAAATCTTAAATATCCTTTTTGGTATGTCGATCCCTATTAGATAGGAGACTTCGTCAAGATTTTTTTTATAATTTTTCTAGCAATACATATTAAAGAAAATAAAATAAATAAAATTGAAATAAAAATTCTAAATTAATATAAAAAAGACAAGGAATAAAAATAAATGGGCTAAATAAATAAATAAATAATAAAAGAAAAGGATAGAAAAAAATCATCCTATACCTAAACCATTAACACACAACTTTTGTTTTTTACCCATCCCCTTTTTCCTTTTTCCTTCTTATTTCTTATTTCTTTTTTTTCTTCCCTAATTCTATTTCTTCATTTTTTTTATTACCCTCCCCCCCCCTCCTTTTTTTTTTTTTTTTGAGGGAAGGTCGGAATGGAACCAGCCTTCCTTTTTTTTTTTGGGTTTTTGAAGGGTGGGCTATGGGCTAGACCCTCCCTTTTTTTGGATAAAAGGTGTTGATCGGACCGAATTCAGCCTAGCCACTTTTTCCTTTTTTTTTTTATCTCGCATTCTTTTAAAAACCCGATTGGGCTCAAGCCCGAAAACAGTCCATAAGATTATAAATTCCAAAATTTCAATCAAGCATAGCTCCTTATCCACTCTCTCTCTCTTGTTCTTCACATTCCAAATTTTCTCTTAGTGCTTCAAGTTTTCCCAAAAAACTAAAAATTAATTTTCAATTAAAGGGTCGGTTATGCAAATCAACCACCCAAATCATGAATGAAAATAAAAGACAAACAACTAACAAATAACGAACATACAAAAATTAAAAACAAAAAGATCAACAAGAAGAAGCTAACCTAGAAACGTGGCTGAAGAACATCGGATAAACCCGGAAAAATAGAGGAATTGGCGAAACCCAAACGAGGATTTCACATGATTTTTTTTTATTATTGACCCTCGATTTGTTTTCTATTACACTCGAACAACAATAATATTCTTGGAAATGGCCCAAAAGACCCCTTTTTATGGGCCCAAAATGAAGAACACCAACCCGAACGAAAAGCACAAACCCGAAGAACTATGAAGAAATGCGAGTCACCGCCTAGAATTCCCAAAGGAAGAACCTAGATTTTGAAGAATTAGAACCCGAATTTTAAACAAAAAGGTAGAGGAGACTGTGAAGATCAAAACTTGACCCCGAGAAACACCAAACAAAAAAAATGGGGGGGGTCGACGGATTATGAACCAAACCCGAGTCCCAAGAACACAAACCCGGAAAAAAAAAACCAATAAACGTAGGCTGCTAAAAAATCAAGTCTTTTCGCCTTTGATTTTCACTCTCTCTTAACCCGAGTATTCTTCTCCAATTTTTCATGCCTTTATATGTGAAATTAAACTCATTTTATAGCCAAAAACTTCCTAGAATCGAATCTAAATCTTGAATTTTTCTATCAAAATATTTTCTCTTTAATTCATGATTAATGTGAAATCAAAACAAGAAATTTGGTCATTGCTTCTTGTTAGTGTTGATTTTGGCAACGAATCCATGATTAATGCACAATCAAACCAAGCAATTTGTAAAGGGTTTGGGCAGATTCTCCCAAAGATTTTTGAAGAGAATTTGCATTGGAGTGGATGACATGTAGTCTTCTCCATTTCGATCCTGTCGTTCGCTCCAAACCTCTAGTTTGGTCTTTGTGCATTTCAAGTCCAACGATCACGCCCTTCGATGGTACAATTTCAGTCTTTATAAAGTGCAATCTTGTCAATTGGATCCCTGTAAGAAGCAATTTAGGTTCTAAATTTTTTAATTGGTTCAATTATACCCATAATTAATTCAATTAAACCTTTCTTCGAATGCAATTGCGCCCTCGAATGAATGTTTTTGTGCTTTTCATTTTTTTTTTTTTGGTAAACTTCAATTAAAATAAAACATACATGAAATAAAAAATAAAAATAAAAATAAAAATAAAAAAGTAAAATAAAAATAAAATAAGATACATAAAAATAAAAATAAAAATAAAACAAAATAAAATAAAAAATATGCAAAAATAAAAATAATAAAAAAAGGTAAATTTGGGTTATTACATAAATAAATACCAAGCAAAGAATCGGATAGCCTTGATTACTATTGTAGTTGAAGAAATCGATGACTTAGGTTGGGGATCCGATTGTTGTTGGAGATCCGGGTTTGTGTTAAGAGGGGTGTTAATCTCATCACCATCGGGGTCAAAATCAAGATTAAGAGATTGATCGATTGCTTCACATCCCTTTTCGAGGCATGACTTACAAGCGATTTCTATGGCTATCCAACCCGGAACCACTTCGTTATTGCTATCAATGCGATTGTCACCTGCAGCCATCGATCTTCACTCCTCCTCTCCATCGAAAATTCAATTTTGAGACTTAGAAAAGAAGAATTTATTTCTAAAGTTTAACTCACAATATTAATCTTAATATAAATAATACTTAAGTTGCATTTCATTCCAGTTATGAAAATAAATTATTAGGAAATAAATTTACACTTTATCGGTACCTCAAACTTTGATGTACTGATAAAATTGAAGGAAAAAGCTAATGGACGTGCTTGTGGAAAATTAAAATGAAGAACAAAAAGTTAGGGTTAATTTGAATTGGGGATTAGGGATTTTGTTGTAATTAGGGTACATAGGGGATGACATGTTTTTCAAGATTTGTAATTGATTTTCCACATCACTACTTACATAGATTCTATGTGGTACATTAAGTCTAACTATCATGCTTCGTCACTTTCCATGTCGGCATTGCTCGAAATTTTGATAGAAAAATCAAATTGATGTTAGTATTGTTATCAAAAGCTTAGTCGGTGACCTTTTTATATAATTTTTAAAAAAAGAACTAAAATCATTAAAATGTGTATAATTTATGATTTTTTAGAATATTAAGCCATTTATAAATAGAGAAGCTAAAAAATCACTATGGTCTTTTCACGTTAAGATTTTCAAAAAAAAAATAGTATTTAAATGTGTCAAATTACAAAGACCATCAAGAGAATCATTTTCAAAAGCATTATTTTGATATATAAAATTTATCTCTATATTTTTCTCTTTATTTTTAAATGAGGCTTGATA